TTCTAAGCACTTGGTTTTATTAATTATTATTATTTCTATTATAAGCATACCGATAAAAATTAACAATTAATCATAAAATAAAAATTATAATTACCTATATATTTACTTCTTTGTATTGCAAATTTAAAACGGAAATACACAACATGTAATAATAATAAAAATAAGACTTATGATGTAATTAAATATATACATTTAAACTATCGCATCCAAATATAAGTATTAAGAGTAATAATAAAGTATTTTAATGATTATGATACATTTATCAGACTAAACTCCATTATAAGATAATATTTCAGAAAAAAAAAACCCCAATAAAAACAACTATTATACATAGCATTAATGTGATATAACTAAAAGCATCAATAAACTGATATCTCTATAATTCTCTATTTTAATCTTAATTGTAATTTTATTAAATCTAAGGGATAAAATGTTGCTATTCATCATAACGATTGTTTTCCATTTAAGAAAATAAAATTTAATTAATAATTAGAATTTATTTATTTTATAAAATGAATAATTATTTTTTCTAAAAAATAATTTACAAAACAGGATGTAAAACATCAGTTTCTTCAAACTAAGAAACTTAATTACAAATACCTTATCTTTCAAAGAATCATATTCCCTTAATTTTATAAATTCTTAAGGATACATTTCATTAGTGTTCTTATTTTAAAAAATGTTAATCTTTATGTCTAATTTCAGGTGGATGTCATACAACTGAAGCTATTTGGCTTAATCTTTATGCTCTTCTTGAGAAGTTTTGAAGTTTAGCTTTTAAAACATGTGGAATCTTAATCTTTAGTACAATATTAAACTTCAAATAAAGGAGCATCAATTTTAGTGAGCATTAGTTTTCTTAAATATTCCTCATAAGTAAAATCTTAATCCTAAGGTTTAGTCAATAAAATATAATTATCTAAACTACCAGCTTTTCGAAAACATTTCATTGTCTTTGTTGTAACTTTAACATGGATTCGTCTACTTAATATTAAAGATTTATATGTTTATTTTTGAACTATTGGATACCAAGATCGACGAATTCTATTAATAATTAGAATATATTCACTTTTTTCTGAAAAACAAGTTTAATTTCCTGATTTTTGTTATTTGCCATGCTAAAGACAAAATTAACTCATTATTGTATGTTTTGGAATTTAATTTTGGCATATTCTTTTTATTAATGCTGGATCTAATAATTATCTTGGACTTAATTATGATATGCTTTTAGTTGTTGGATTAACAGAAAGCTAAAAATTAAATAAAGGACGATAATTTAATTATTTCATGCCCTGAAGTAGGATATTCAGTATTTCTTAATTAATTAAATATAAATTTTAAATTACTATTTACACATTAACTAGAAATAATCAATTGGAATATATTTTTAATTAGAGCAATAATTTTGAAGCAACTAAAATTTTTATGGATTATGATTATATATGTGTTTGTAAAATAATCATAAAATTTTTAATTTTATAATTTGAAGAAACATCTATGAATAAGTATATGATTGATCAAACTTAGTTAATAGAAAATAAATAAACTTTAAGTAGAGTTATAGTATTTTTATTGATTTTGGCTACTTTTTGAGAGAAGGATAACTAAAATGTGAAATAGAATTCTGAAGTGAGTATTTTATAATTATTAACTTCATAAATTTGAATTATAATTGAAATACATTTGTTTGAATTAATTATTAAAAAAAGTACGTTTCCACAACCATAATTTAGTCTCATTTATAAACACATTTTCAAAGAATTAAATTACATTTGTTCTACTTATTTATTTATATCGAATTACTCTTCTACCTAAACGATTATCTAAAGAGCCAAAATTAGCAATTAAAAAAAATTCATTTAGCCGATTTAAGACTTTTCTCGTACTAAAACAAGTTTTTCACATTAAAAGAATTAAAAGAGAATGAAATCTATTTAAATACTATTAAAATCTGTTATTAAAAATTTAATTTTGAAGTTGAATAGATAATTGTTCCAAAAAGAATTTCTAGAGTAACACATTTTTAAGGTCCTAATTTCCCATTTAATCTAAATTACTTGAAAAAGTAAATTAATGCTTTAAAGTGATTTATTTATTAATTTAAAAATATTTAAAATAACTTTTGTGTATAAAGGATTATTAGAACTGAAGAGGATTAAGAAGTCAAATATAATATCAAAAGAAGTCTAGCAAAGGTTATTTTACCTAAAAAAAATCATTAACGAATATGCCGAAAGTTAGTTTTAGTACTCATTTTAAATACAATCAAAAGAATCTATTATAATATAAATATATTAAATGTTTTAAGCAAAACTGTAAGATTTAATGTTTATCAACATAGGATTTGAAACAGAGATTTTGGAAACCATTAATAAAACATTAAAAAATAATAATAGAATAAAAGTAATATCTATGATGAAATTTTTAAGAGGGGAAGTCTTGCAGATATCAAAAGCTTTATTAAATAATTCGAAAGTTTTAAACCTAAATTTCAGCTGTTCAATCAAGATTAATAGTGTTTTTATTTTGATAGTTGTATAAATAAGATTAATGTGATTTTATTTCATCGATTAATTACTTAAATTCACTTTTTTAAATTACAAAGCTGACTATACTTAATATCTTTAGATCCTAGTCTTTGAGATCAATTCAAATTAGATCGCTTGTTATCTAAATAGTAAACTCTCAAGACTATTTAAATAAAATGAATGACTAATCTTCCTTATTCGAAAAATAGTACTAAATATCATATTTACACCAAAAATTTAATTTCTCC